ACCCCCAACCCCCCCCGACCCCGCCCCAACATGGCGGCGACGGCGGGGGGCGGGGCCTCGCCGGGCGGCGGGGGCGGGGCCGCGCTGGAGGAGGAGTGCGAGGTTGTGCGCGTGCGCGTCAAGGTAAGGGGCGGGGCGTGGCTCTGGGCGGAACCCTGTGTGGGCGTGGTTATTTAATTAGCGATCGTGGGCGGAGTCAAGGGGTGGAGTCACGTGCTCCCCGGCAGCCAATCAGCTCGGGTGGGGCGTTGCCACCTGCGGGTGTGGCACCGGCGGGAAATTTTCCCGCCTTTCGTGTCACGTGGGGAGCGGCCGCCAATCAGCGTTGCGGGAGGCGCGCGGCGTCGCCGTGGTGACGGTGCTGTGCCGCCATGTTGGATCGCCGTGAGGGGCCGGGGGGCTCCGGGACTCCCTGGGACCCCCTGGGACCCTTCCGGGACCCCCTGACGCTCCTCCCGCAGAAGAACGAGGGGCAGCAGCCGCCCGAGTTCCGCTCGTTCGCCGTGGACCCGCAGATCACGTCGCTGGACGTGCTGCAGCACATCCTGGCCCGGGCCTTCGACCTGCAGGGGTGAGTGGAGCCCCCCGGTTCCCCCCCGGGCCCACCTGGGACCCCGCAGAGCACCCAGGTGAGCTCACCTGTCCCCCCGCAGGAAGAAAAGCTTTGTTCTGAGCTTCGCAGCGCGGGACGGGCAGGGCCAGGACACCTTTGTGCCTCTGCTGAGCGATGGTGACCTGGCCAACGCCTTCACCTGCGCCCGGCCCACCCTGAGGCTGCGCCTGGACGTCAGGAACCCCCCTGACAGTGAGTGACCCACCTGGGATACACCTGGGTGGGTGGGGATACACCTGAGACACACCTGGGTGGGTGGGGATACACCTGGGATACACCTGGATTGGTGGGGATACACCTGAGATACACCTGGGTGGGTGGGGATACACCTGAGATACACCTGGGTGGGTGGGGATACACCTGAGATACACCTGGGTGGGTGGGGATACACTTGGGGAACACCTGGATTGGTGGGGATACACCTGAGATACACCTGGGTGGGTGGGGATACACCTGGGATACACCTGGGTGGGTGGGGATACACTTGGGGAACACCTGGATTGGTGGGGATACACCTGAGATACACCTGGGTGGGTGGGGATACACCTGAGATACACCTGGGTGGGTGGGGATACACCTGAGATACACCTGGGTGGGTGGGGATACACCTGGGATACACCTGGGTGGGTGGGGATACACCTGGGATACACCTGGATTGGTGGGGATACACCTGAGATACACCTGGGTGGGTGGGGATACACCTGAGATACACCTGGGTGGGTGGGGATACACCTG